TTTAACTGTCGTTCACGTTGTATCATGACGTTTGTTTTAATGTTACGAATACACAATTTTCGGCGCGACCTCGAACCTCCAGTACAGTCAAGGGAAGGAATCCCGAACATATAGCACGAAGTATTGCCGATCACCCGTCACCTATCCTGAAGCAAACACGTGTTGGCCGAACCTGCCTACTGTTCGCAAACACGTGTTGGCCGAACCTGCAAGACTACTGTTCGTTTCGCAGACTACACACCTTGAGTTTTGTCACATTATCGAGCGTCATTCACTTTCATTGTTCCTGACTCTCTAGGCGGGAGTCCTATTGGATCTACACATTTGAGTCCCCATTTGACTACTCATTCCTTTCCTATTGTGATTTAGTGAATTTGTATTGGTTATTTTGATTGTTAATTTATCCGAACACGCTGATAACGTCCTAGTCCGCTACAGGTTCACGGATACATGGATTTACGTATTGACACGCAGAATCGAGGCTTTTGTCCAAGTTTCCCCGGTCGATTTTGTTCCTGTCGTTAAGCAGATGTCGTTCACCTGAAGGGCACAAGTTGGAAGGGGTGTAGCACTGCTCTTTGTGTTCTCAGCGCGGGACAGTATGCTTGCCTGCGTGAAGATTCGCATGAATCAATGTCTAATAGTACTCTGAACTGGGTGCTAGAAGGAGCGTCGTCAACCGTCGAGGGAAGGTCATTCGACGCAGCTACTGCCTGAAATGATAAAAAATTTGCCTACTGAATGTGTGCTCTCTGAGATGAAAAGTTTCTGACCATGTCCCCGCTGTGTGTTTGCTGGGTCACCGGTGAAATACCTGTTTGCTGAGCTTTGTCTAAACAGGACATATGTAAGTATTATGTCTACTCGGAGGCGATAGTACTCTAGAGGAGAGATATCAAGCATCGCCAGACGCGTTTCGTAGACTAGGGACTTGAGGCCGGCAACCCTTTTCGTAGCTGCTCACTGGACATGCTCAATGGGGGCGACGTCTTTTGTACGTCCTGAGTAGACATCTTGGTTGGCTTGTTCAAGGAGTGGTCTGACGTAGGCCCCATAGACATTTGGAGGTCCATGGGACTAATTCGAGAGAAGGCGCTCAGGATCATCCGTAAAACGGATGAATCGGATATACAAAACATGTACACAGAGAGTGACCGCTGCTGAGAATTCTTAACGATCATTTTGCCATAAATAATAGTTGCTGGTACATAGCCGTAACACCCTTGGATACTTTATGTTGTATATTTGTTTGCTCCCACCTAGGTTACTCTTTACAGATGTGATCTCCGTTTCTAAAGGAGGACTGTGCAGAGGTTCTGGTGTTTTTTACCATCTTCCGCGTCCATTATAGCATCACGTATTTCGTGAATTGCATAAAAACTTTTCAATACGCTCAAACTACAAAAATGTGCCTTTATGCACTTACACAAAAGGACAAACGTGTTCACGTGCATCGACTTTCTCTTCTAAATTTGCTCGCGCTTGCAGCGGTCATTCGCGATTTTCATGTACTAACTATGGTAACCGAGCTTTTCAGACTATATTCAGATGTTAATATACGAGAACTGCTCAAAAGATTCTTGTACAACCATAGCTGAATTATGATTTATTCGGTGACCTAGGCCAGCGACGAGCTGCGTTGTAAAGAAGAATTCTTAGTGAGTATGTTCAATTTGACCCTCATTATTATTGTATACTCAGTCTGCCTCAGTGCCACACATCTTCATGAAATTGGTCCTAAAGATAGCCAGACCACCACAAGATGGACAGTGGAATGTTATGAAGACGGGGGCCCTGTAGGAGATATTCATGTACATGGTCTCTACATCTTTAGAAGACACAGGATATTAGGAACATGCACGAAGTTTGCGAGGTGTCCAGCGGTTTGTCTGGTGCAAGCTGGGATGAAAAGTACAGCGGGATCCTTAAGAATCTAGTTTGGTTTGTCTCGCGAAATCGCCCTCAGAAACCGTTTCCTTCCATGACGGAAACAAAGATGGGGAGGCATTTTTCGGGGAGAGGTAATTGCAACACCATTAGTTTCTCAGGAAACTAAACGGGTTTTTGGACGCCCGAATGCCTCGCCTATCTTGGGGCTTCACACCAGGCAAGCACCGCAATTGGAAGCAAAATTTTCAAGCTTCATCTTAGGCGCTCCGTAATCCTAAACGAAGCAAACGGCTTCGTAAGAGCCTCATCTTACATTGGAGGCAGATGTTCGGCGCACATGTATCATTTTCTTTAGATTCCAATGAGATTTTGCATCACGGATTTTGGTGGTGACGGTGATGACGGGCAAACCGAAACGAGACAGGGCAGCATGCATAGTACGACGTTCAGAATTGGCACAATGGGATTGAGTTCTCGAACTCTGCGGCATCTTCAGGCATGCAACCTCATAGTGTAGAATGTCGAAGTATATTGCATGTGTCCTTATATTATTGAAAACCATGTATTACGGTGATTTGTTTAAGTGAGCGAATGCTCAGCGTAAATGAACACCATAGACTGTGAATAAGTTGCCCGATGATAAAAATCGCGAATTGTGGAAAACACGGACTCCCTAGCAATAAACGAAACTTTAAGATGGGTTTCAACCCGGAAAAATACCCTGAAGATTCTAGAATCAAAATGGTCTTTGGAGATGCAGAAAATGCTTAAGTGCATTCGTGTAAAAAAATTTTGGTCGACGATTACTATTGCCAGTTTATATTTCGCAGTCCACGTTAATTATCTGGAAAAGTCATGCACGTTTACTGGCAAAAAGCGGACATTTCCATTGTAAGTTGCGAATTATGCTAGGAAGTCCCTGAGGTTTATCGATTAGGAACATGGAAAGCACGTCGATCATACCGGACAGCTGAACGAACCTAACTGACGCACACGACCAACATGCGGCTAAAGGTACATGATGCCGGAGCGCACCCATCCATCCGCACCGGAGAAAAGGCTCAAAATGGACGTCATGGAATGTTGAGATATATTGGTCGCTTTGAAGTGTACATATGTCCTTCCGGGAGGTGCGTGGTCTTCCTCATGAGGAGTGTTCATCTGGCCGTTGGCGTCCTGAAGTGAGTGGGAGATGTAATTTAGATTATTGAAATGCCACCATAAGGCGGGCGGCCGACCAACTGGTAGAAATACTAACCCCGAAATTCACTTTAGCAGCTATGCTGTAGTAGATGCCTGCTCACACAATGCCATCTTCTGCGGTTAATTAGCACGCCTGCTTACTGCGCCTCTCAGGAAATACCAGGCTTACACGAAATGTATAGGGCCTCATTAACAGGCCGACTGAGTCACATGAAATCATCTTCGTCCCTTTCATCTATCTGGCGCTCTACAGCTCACGGCTGTCGAGTAGTTCCCCTTTTGACCCAAAAACACGAACACACACGAACTTCCAGGACACAGGGTGCTGGGACTCTGTGCTTCGGTCCAGGTCAACATCATAAGACGCCCTCTTTGCGGACCGGGTAGCAAGCACACCTTTCCGTCCTCTGGATGGGCCCGGGCTAAGAACCAAAAGTAATTTATTTTCATGTGGACTCACCGTTGGGACAAGCCTAAAGAGCACCACCACACAGCGGACAAAGTTCACCATCACAACAGTCGGCGTGATATGATACGCGATCCGTTGCGCACCAGCGGTCACTGGCAGTAGTCGGCCGGTCACAGAGCACACAAAAGCCCAAGTCTGCGTTCCTAGATCGCCATCTGTGTTGAGGTGCACCATCCTCGACCACCAACGACAGACCATCAGTCGCAGACTTTGAGCCTTGGCGCAGCAGGATTTGTTCCTGAGCAATCAATCACTCAAAGATGGCTGCGGCGCACCTAGGTTCCGGCTTCTGAAGCTTATCCACCACTCGGTTCGGTTTTTCACGAAGGCCGTCGAAAGCTGTCGGCGTTGATTTGGGAACAGGTGTTGGATTGGGAAGCAAGCTAAGAAAAAGTCAATAATGAATAATTCTTGCTGCTCGGAAAGGACCGATCTCGAAATACAGTGAACAGGCGTATGCAGGGGAGCCATATCGCCTGGTAGAAAGGGCATGTGCATTCTCCAGCACAGGTGTCAACAGTCTGGGATCATCTGGGTGTTTGCACCATAAACTATAGGTTAGTTCACGTAGCCTGACCTCACCTTGTGTGTTCCAACACTCATGCGGCAGCCGTGGCGGTCACGCACCCAAGTGTCAGAAAACGAGAGAGCATGTAACTGTCGTCATTAGACCGACAATGTTATGAACTTAGACGTCACTCTCTAGGAGTTGCCGCCTGTCGCACTGGTGAAAGTTAGAAGTCCTTCGCTGCGGGGTTATTTATCGAGAAATGCCAAATGAACGGTTACGGACTATTAGACAGGGAATTTAAACTCTACTTTGCACCCTACTGACAAAAACCGAACACCCATCTTCTCCTGAACGCGTCCCCTTGAACTTTCCTGGATATTCATCGACTATAACCATTCATCGCTCAAATCCAAGCGAAGGTTACAAATCGATTCCATAAATTCCGCAACCGATCTCCCCTTTTCAAGAGATAAAGCGAAATTCCAAGAAAAACACATACTACTCGCATTCCTCCCATCAGTAGTATCACCGTTACAATGGTAAGACGTGTGCATCTCGAACTCCTGCATGAACCATTCGGCATGCCGGGACACCTTTTGAATTACATGCTCCAACGTATTTGACCGGTTCACTCGGCCTTTAAGGCGGCCGTTCGCGTTCTCCAATCGGTTCTTGGTCACATTACCGAAATGAACCATTCCGGACTGTGCGTGTATGGCCGATTTTTGGGTGATTTACAACCAGCGGGCATAAGAAAGGAAACCAATCGAGGATCGGCGCGGCGCAGAAGCTGCAAGTCTCGCCGAAATCTGTGTGCTTGTAATACGATGAACAAAACACCGACTGTACAACGTTGTCCAGGCGAGCCATGCGGTGAAATATGTGCCGGCTATGACCAAAAATACATGGAGATCAAATGATACATACGTGCTTCCCGATGGCTTTGCGGACATAAAAATAGCAAAGCATAATGTCGCAGCCAAACGCGACACTTGCCGCACCGATTTGCGCCGCCAACGTGTCCATAACAAAGGTCTTAACTGGATAAGTTTCGCTTATCATTTCTTTGAAGAAGCCGAACAGTTTGCGCATGGGGGCAAACTGCTCACTCTCTACAAATGCATACATAACCAAAAGCCTGGTTCCCATGCCGTCCGTTATCAAGACGGTGTAATGTTTATATCTACATGCCGAATATTAGATGCTTTAAAATCTCACCCAAGGCGGTTGTTGCATGCGTTTCGGCTACATTTACTACATCTGAGAAGCGTCGGAACAACGCTATCTGCTGCCATTGGGAGAAACGTATGCGGGTATAGTGACCTTCCTCTGACTGGCACACAAGGACGCGCCCGGTCTCCTGAAGTTTTGCCAGGACCAAAGGTATATCATCTGCCACATTGAAACCAAGCTATGCGGCACCTACTCAACATAGCCAGTCAACACTTACGGCGGTAGTTGTATAGATCCTGAGTGGTAAGAATCTTATTGAATTCATCAGTTACAAACTGCCGCATCTCACATGACAGCGTTCCACATTTCGGAAGGGCCTTGCATGTGCCCAACTCGTCTTCGGTTAGGCGTCGATTAAGTGGAAGCCGGTCGCACAGAAACTTTGACAATTCGTGGTTGTGTTCAAGAAAATAAGAGGTGACTGCCAGTTGGTTCCTTGCCCTCGCACTGGACAGCTGGTGCTTCGCGTACATTTCTGTATTAGGAAATACGCTCAGCTTACTAGCTTCTTTGGATTCCCCGACTTTCCATTGGTCTTGGAGGGCGCCTGCTGCATTTGTAGTACACCGATTTGTAACGCAAAACAGCGTTGGTGCTTCGATTACTGGATGAACGCACAAATAGCACAGAGTTATCCTCTATGTATTGTACTGCAGCACACTGCCACTGTGATCTGTCGCACAAAATCTACAGTCCGCAAATGCAATGCATCAAATGAAGTCCTTTGGATTCAACGGCTTGCCAAAATCTTTTTATGAATAGCGTCGAAATTCCTCAGCTCCACAAACGTGTTTGACATGCCGCAACGAAAATGGGGGGGGGTAGATTTTAGACATAATCGTTGAAGGAAACACCAAACGCGAACATTAATGTCCCCTTACCGTACAACCACGCCAGTTTATTTGAGCTAAACCTAATGGTAAAGAAAAGGTGGGACGGGACGAAGGACATAGTAATAGCCTTCGACAAACATTTATCCATCGTCTCGACATTCAGTAAAGCCATTTAAACAATATGAACAGTGTCTGCAGCCAAACGTATGAGGGGCACGTGGACTCTATCCTCAATGACAAACACCATCTGATCTTTCCGTAGTATCCTTCATTCCAGTCCTTTAATGTCAAATTATGTTAACCGTTAGGTTTCCGCCACCCCTAATTGGGCGCAGAAAACAGCGCTTTCTTGGAAGTCAACAACCTGGTATCTAGAATACATGGTCCATCAGCTTAGTTTTACCGTGTTGAATGCATTCTTGACCGTCTGGCTCCTGATAACTTCGTTGCTAATTCGCAGATTTAAGCTGGCTGTATCCAAATTTATGGGACATCACTGATCGTTTGACAGTCCGCCTGGTCAGCTGCGGGTGGCCAGTTGAACTGTTATAGAAAATATGCGAGCAAAATAGCTCACACACATGCTCAGAGGTCTTTGCTTCCCCTGTTTCTCAGCTTCCTGGGCCAACTAATTTTTTTCGGATCCCTGCAGGTGTCCTCTTTCAGTGATTGCCGTCAGCTGATTGAGTTATTTTTTACTCTTGGCTGGAAGGAATTCCTGTCCGACCTTTGAGTAATTTCAGAGTGTCCCTTTAGTTTCCTCATGTAGATTTCTTTGATTCCGCTGTTTTGCAAGTAGGGTCGTAGATAGTGCTCCTTGGTAAACTTCAACGCATTGAGATGTATTGTCATAAATGAAATTTAGCATTGGGTTCTGGTGGAGTTGGTACACACTAAGGTGAGGAGATGGCCGGAAGAAGTGTGCACATCTTGCACTGAAAAGCGCAGCAGAAATTCGTAGGGAACAAGCAGGTGATCTGATTGCAAGTGGTTTTTCCGGAATATGCGTTTTGCCAACGCCACGAGCAGTTGGTGTTGATCTGATTTGTTCTATCTGAGCTGTTTTCCTACGAGGATACTTACCTCCTTCGTTTCAATTTATCTTTTAGTTCTTCGGAATAAACACAAGGCAGCCGCAGATGTCTGTTTAGATTCAATTTTATGAAAGCCGCAAATGCCCCACTCTATTACCCAACTATCCTTGATTTCCTGTTTGAATGAGGTCTAAACTACCTTTGAGTTTGACGAAGTTACAGCCGATAGACGAACAATAAGTAAAACAACAATTTAAAAAATGAAACCACCCTTTACTATACTTGGCTACCTCTGACTTTCTTGAAGCGGAAGTTACATGCAGCGACTGCTTGAACAGTGTGCCTCATTACTGGCCTAGCTGCCTCCCGAAATAACTTACAGTAGGCTCCCTTTAGCTTACTCCATGTCCTGGACTATTCTATCCTCAATGTTTATTGGGTATGGTTTTGTTTTGCCCAGCCCTAACCAAATGTGGCAAACAAAAGTTAGAGTTTCTCACCCCTGAGAACGTAATATTCGCCACAACCCAATAAGCACACGCACATATAACGTTTCGGTTTGCCTCTGCTTGGCTAGGTAGCTCACACTCCGCCGTCTTTTGCCACGTATTACACGCTGTGGGCATCTCCATTCTCTTTTAATGGTAGCTGTTGTCTCATTAGACTCATCCGCGACTTGTCTTTGGCGGCTGCACTTTGCCGTTTGCTTGTTCAAACTGATTGGGCTGTTTCCGCTTGTAGCTGGGATACTTTGTTAATCCACAAGTCACGATTAGGATCGCCTAGTGGCATGCCATCTTGTGGAGCTGGTAGCATACAATAGGGATCAAAAACCCTGTACGAAGGGTCGCTTTGCTGTGCTGCACCAGAGCGGTGGTGCGTTCGTGAACCTGCCACCCCTGCAGCAAAATTGGTGTTTCGTCCATCACTGGTAGTCCTGTGCATGAATATTCAGTCAGGAAATCCATAAAGGAGCACTGTTGTTTTCTGTTTGTTGCCACTGTGTTGAAATGTTCTTGGTTGTGTCATTTAGCTAGAAGCACCATAAACTGCAGACAGTGAAAATTGATTTTTTGTTTCTTGGCAAAGAACTCCGTAGAAAAAGATGAAATAGCCCGAAACCACTGCAATTCCCAAGTCTTGCATCAACGTACTGAACAGTGGCTACTTTCGTCACAGTCGAAGTTGCACTGCACCAAAGCCCAATCCGTCAATCAAACTCACCCACCCACCTAAAACTCACAGGAGTAGAGAGTAACATATATATGAGACCTCTAACCCTCCATTGCTAGCACCATCCCAGCATTCCATGTTGATCAGCTGTAAGAGCCGCATACTTGTCGTACAGTGGTTGTAGTTGCCAAGGTTCCGTTCACAGATGATTTCGTAGGTGGGTTAGTATGATGCGCGGAGGAAGCGGGAGCTGACAGACTGATGTGGAAATACAGGATTGTCGATGGATTGTAGGTGGGGGACTAGTGGGGAAGTTGTGTATTGAAGGCAAATCAAAGATAAATGAGCGCCACCGCGGGCACGGCTGGGCCATGCCTCTTACCATTGATTTGACCTATCTCGAAATCCCATCCAGCACACCGGAGTTTGTCCTTTTTATACGCCGCGCCTTCGCAGCACAACGCATTTTTTTGCAAAATCCTTGTGCGTGAAATAAAATCTTTAACGTCAAAATGTTGCACTTGTTTACATATGTGCTCTGTCATCTACCGTCAGTTTCTTGCGATTTGTTTTAATCAATCTCTTTTGAAAATTAATGGCGCATATTTGGCTTTGAACATGGTTGGATCTAGCTTCGGAAGCGGCTTCCAAATCGTTCGCTGAGAAATTTTTGGGTGTTTCGATTTCATCCTTCACGGCATATGAGAAGGCCACAAATCAAAATATGGAGGATAACTCTGTGCTATTTGTGCGTTCATCCAGTAATCGAAGCACCAAAGCTGTTTTGCGTTACAAATGGGTGCACTACAAGTGCAGCAGGCGCCCTCCAAGACCAATGGAAAGTCGGAGACTCCAAAGAAGCTAGTAAGCCGAGCGTATTTTCTAATACAGAAATGTACGCGAAGCACCAGCTGTCCAGTGCGAGGGCAACGGAACCAACTGGCAGTCACCTCTTATTTTCTTGAACACAACCACGAATTGTCAAAGTTTCTGTGCGACCGGCTTCCACTTAATCGACGCCTAACCGAAGACGAGTTGGGCACATGCAAGGCCCTTCCGAAATGTGGAACGCTGTCATGTGAGATGCGGCAGTTTGTAACTGATGAATTCAATAAGATTCTTACCACTCAGGATCTATACAACTACCGCCGTAAGTGTTGACTGGCTATGTTGAGTAGGTGCCGCATAGCTTGGTTTCAATGTGGCAGATGATATACCTTTGGTCCTGGCAAAACTTCAGGAGACCGGGCGCGTCCTTGTGTGCCAGTCAGAGGAAGGTCACTATACCCGCATACGTTTCTCCCAATGGCAGCAGATAGCGTTGTTCCGACGCTTCTCAGATGTAGTAAATGTAGCCGAAACGCATGCAACAACCGCCTTGGGTGAGATTTTAAAGCATCTAATATTCGGCATGTAGATATAAACATTACACCGTCTTGATAACGGACGGCATGGGAACCAGGCTTTTGGTTATGTATGCATTTGTAGAGAGTGAGCAGTTTGCCCCCATGCGCAAACTGTTCGGCTTCTTCAAAGAAATGATAAGCGAAACTTATCCAGTTAAGACCTTTGTTATGGACACGTTGGCGGCGCAAATCGGTGCGGCAAGTGTCGCGTTTGGCTGCGACATTATGCTTTGCTATTTTTATGTCCGCAAAGCCATCGGGAAGCACGTATGTATCATTTGATCTCCATGTATTTTTGGTCATAGCCGGCACATATTTCACCGCATGGCTCGCCTGGACAACGTTGTACAGTCGGTGTTTTGTTCATCGTATTACAAGCACACAGATTTCGGCGAGACTTGCAGCTTCTGCGCCGCGCCGATCCTCGATTGGTTTCCTTTCTTATGCCCGCTGGTTGTAAATCACCCAAAAATCGGCCATACACGCACAGTCCGGAATGGTTCATTTCGGTAATGTGACCAAGAACCGATTGGAGAACGCGAACGGCCGCCTTAAAGGCCGAGTGAACCGGTCAAATACGTTGGAGCATGTAATTCAAAAGGTGTCCCGGCATGCCGAATGGTTCATGCAGGAGTTCGAGATGCACACGTCTTACCATTGTAACGGTGATACTACTGATGGGAGGAATGCGAGTAGTATGTGTTTTTCTTGGAATTTCGCTTTATCTCTTGAAAAGGGGAGATCGGTTGCGGAATTTATGGAATCGATTTGTAACCTTCGCTTGGATTTGAGCGATGAATGGTTATAGTCGATGAATATCCAGGAAAGTTCAAGGGGACGCGTTCAGGAGAAGATGGGTGTTCGGTTTTTGTCAGTAGGGTGCAAAGTAGAGTTTAAATTCCCTGTCTAATAGTCCGTAACCGTTCATTTGGCATTTCTCGATAAATAACCCCGCAGCGAAGGACTTCTAACTTTCACCAGTGCGACAGGCGGCAACTCCTAGAGAGTGACGTCTAAGTTCATAACATTGTCGGTCTAATGACGACAGTTACATGCTCTCTCGTTTTCTGACACTTGGGTGCGTGACCGCCACGGCTGCCGCATGAGTGTTGGAACACACAAGGTGAGGTCAGGCTACGTGAACTAACCTATAGTTTATGGTGCAAACACCCAGATGATCCCAGACTGTTGACACCTGTGCTGGAGAATGCACATGCCCTTTCTACCAGGCGATATGGCTCCCCTGCATACGCCTGTTCTCTGTATTTCGAGATCAGTCCTTTCCGAGCAGCAAGAATTATTCATTATTGACTTTTTCTTAGCTTGCTTCCCAATCCAACACCTGTTCCCAAATCAACGCCGACAGCTTTCGACGGCCTTCGTGAAAAACCGAACCGAGTGGTGGATAAGCTTCAGAAGCCGGAACCTAGGTGCGCCGCAGCCATCTTTGAGTGATTGATTGCTCAGGAACAAATCCTGCTGCGCCAAGGCTCAAAGTCTGCGACTGATGGTCTGTCGTTGGTGGTCGAGGATGGTGCACCTCAACACAGATGGCGATCTAGGAACGCAGACTTGGGCTTTTGTGTGCTCTGTGACCGGCCGACTACTGCCAGTGACCGCTGGTGCGCAACGGATCGCGTATCATATCACGCCGACTGTTGTGATGGTGAACTTTGTCCGCTGTGTGGTGGTGCTCTTTAGGCTTGTCCCAACGGTGAGTCCACATGAAAATAAATTACTTTTGGTTCTTAGCCCGGGCCCATCCAGAGGACGGAAAGGTGTGCTTGCTACCCGGTCCGCAAAGAGGGCGTCTTATGATGTTGACCTGGACCGAAGCACAGAGTCCCAGCACCCTGTGTCCTGGAAGTTCGTGTGTGTTCGTGTTTTTGGGTCAAAAGGGGAACTACTCGACAGCCGTGAGCTGTAGAGCGCCAGATAGATGAAAGGGACGAAGATGATTTCATGTGACTCAGTCGGCCTGTTAATGAGGCCCTATACATTTCGTGTAAGCCTGGTATTTCCTGAGAGGCGCAGTAAGCAGGCGTGCTAATTAACCGCAGAAGATGGCATTGTGTGAGCAGGCATCTACTACAGCATAGCTGCTAAAGTGAATTTCGGGGTTAGTATTTCTACCAGTTGGTCGGCCGCCCGCCTTATGGTGGCATTTCAATAATCTAAATTACATCTCCCACTCACTTCAGGACGCCAACGGCCAGATGAACACTCCTCATGAGGAAGACCACGCACCTCCCGGAAGGACATATGTACACTTCAAAGCGACCAATATATCTCAACATTCCATGACGTCCATTTTGAGCCTTTTCTCCGGTGCGGATGGATGGGTGCGCTCCGGCATCATGTACCTTTAGCCGCATGTTGGTCGTGTGCGTCAGTTAGGTTCGTTCAGCTGTCCGGTATGATCGACGTGCTTTCCATGTTCCTAATCGATAAACCTCAGGGACTTCCTAGCATAATTCGCAACTTACAATGGAAATGTCCGCTTTTTGCCAGTAAACGTGCGTGACTTTTGGCTTGTGCCAAGGTGTTTGTCACACTTCTTCCATGTGCTCTTTCCCAGGATGGGGATAACTGTCAAAATATTCTATTGTGGGAACGCCTCTTTGTTTTATATATCACCAAAAGGCTGGTTAACCAGGGTTTCTTGGCCTTCTTTGATGAACGATGGATGGATACCTTTCGATCCCGATGCTCTGTCACGTTTCTTCACCGATATTTCGCACTTTGTTTTTCCTTTTGACGGGCGATCAAATTTTTCATTGCTTTCGCCCGTATACATGACCCCACAGACTGTGCCGCAGAAGGCAACTGAACTATTGTTCGAAGTGTTCAGGCCATCCCTACAGTCGATGTATTTGCACGCGAATTTTCGAGCAACTTTATCACTCATCGTTTTACCGAGCACCGACTTCCCAGGGCCAGTCGGTCGTATCATTTGACACGAGGCACGACTGTCTCCCGTAGCAAGACTCCCCCATCTTTCGTGCTCTCGATGCCCACCGGAGCTCTCGGTCTTTCCTTAGACGCGTCCATATTTGGCGTTCAAAGGATTTGCGTGCGGCGTCGTACTCGTCGGCATCGATTTCATGGCATCGATCGTGGATGGCGATCCCGTCGAAATTCAGTGGTCTTGTGGTCGAATCGGAGATGTTGGACAAATTGCAACGGAAGCCGCTAACATAGCTCCTTCTATGTTTTGCCACGCTTCATCAACATACTCACTGCTATCTCAGTATTGGTTTACTGTGGAGAGTTTCCGGGATAGTTCAGCTCAGTACTGTTGGGTCATGGTGCTTCTTCAAAGACGGTTATTGGGCATGCTTCTTGCCGACTTGGGA